GGAGGAGAGTCGCCCCGCGCCTCCTGCCCTCCCCCCACGCCGCGTGTGTCCCCCCCCCCCCCCCCCCCCCCCCCCTGCCCTACAGATTTCTGCGAAGGACTCAGCGGCAGAGGAGAAACTGACCCCCGTCACCTTGGCCAATCAAGTGGCTGGCCTGAAGAAGCACCTGATGGCCTTGCAACTGGAGCAGGTTCTTGGACCTGATGCCACCATCGACCTGACCGACCCCCAGGGAGCTCTGGCCAAGTATGTACCCATGGTCACCCCTCCCCTACTGCCCTCCCCTCAGGCCGCGTGTGACCCTCACACAGCCTCGTCCATACACTCCCTCATACTCTGGGCACATGATCCTATAGAGGCTCCCATATACCCCTCCCCTTTCCGAGTGTGGTCTCTCTCTCTCTCTCTCTCTCACTGACTCACACACCATGTATACTGTGCTCCAGGTATGCACCCCCACCCCCACGCACACTCCCTCTCCCTCACTCCTGCTCCCTCTCCCTCGCAACCCCACCCACGCTTGCTCCCTCTCCCTCGCAAGCCCCTACCATGCGCTCTCCCTCCCACTCACCACCGCTGCGCTTGCTCCCTCTCCCTCGCGCGCGCGCCCCCCTCCGTGCGCTCGCTCCCTCTCCCTCCCTCCGTGTGCTCGCTCCCTCTCCCTCGCGCGCCCCTCCCCGCACACTCTTGTGCGTGCTGTCACACTTTCTTGCTCTTGTACACAGTTCTCCACATGCGTGGACACACAGGCCTGTGGGCGCGGAGGGAGGGAGAGACACGGGCACTGTGCTGTCGTACCGAGGTTACACTACCCTTCCACTCAGTGCGCCACCCGACCAGGGTCCTGCCCCATTCCCACCGGCTGCATGTGTGTGAAGACATTCCCTGCAATTCATCTATAACACCGGTATCTAAGCACCTCTCTCTTTTTCTCTCACCCTCCCTCCTTCCCTCACCCTGCCATGGCTCTCAGGCGCCTGCTGACCCAACTGGATGTCACCCGGAGCGGGAAGGAGGGAGGCTCACCGGCCGGAAAAGAGAGCGGCCAGGTTGGGAACACCAACGCAGTGACTTACGAGCTTTATTATCGACCAGAGCAGACCCGGTTCACTCAGGCTGCCAAGGTGAGGCTGGTCTGAATGTGTACCCCTTTGGGTCTCAGTGATGGAGGAGTGTGGAGGCACAGGGATGGGCACAGACAGATTACTTTGTAAATTGGTTCATGGATGTAGGGCATTGGCTCTTTTCCTCTCTCTCTCTGTGTCTGCCTCCCTCCTGTGTGTCTCTCTCTCTCTAACCCCCTTCTCTGTGTGTGTGTCTCTCCTCTGTGTGTGTTTTTCTCTCTCTCTTCCCCCACCTCCTGTGTGCATTTCTCTCTCTCTCTCTCTCTCCCCACTCTGTGTGCATTTCTCTCTCTCTCTCTCCCCGCTGTGTGTGCATTTCTCTCTCTCTCTTTCTTTCCCCCTCCCGTGTGCGTTTTTCTTTCTCTTTCTCTGCTCTGTGTGCGTCTCTCTCTCTCTCTTTTCCCCCCTCCCATGTGTGTTTTTTCTCTCTCTTTTTCTCTCTCTCTGTCTCCCCCTCTGTGTGCGTTTCTGGTGATGGAGGGGGTGCAGCGAGGGGTTTCCCAGACCAATCCCTGGGACGGAGAGAGACTGGATCAGGTCGGACTGTGTTCACTGGGAGTTTAGAAGGATGAGGAGGGAGGGAGTCACATAGAAACCCGTAAAATTCTCAAGGGACTAGGGGAGGGGAAATGCAGGAAAGATGTTCCTGATGACTAGGGCAGGGGGGAGTCCAGAACTACAAGGTCACGGTGTAAAGGAGATGAGGGTCGGACTGACTTGAGGAAAAAAGTCTTCACCCAGAGAGTGGGATGTTGATTTCATTAGATTACATTGTCACATGTACTCCAGTATAGGAGTACAGTAAAAATGTACAAAGTCACCATTACAGAATCATAGAATCCCCACAATGTGGAAAGCAGGCCATTCAACCCATCAAGTCCACACCGACCCTCCGAAGAGCATCCCACCCGGACCCAAAGACCTCCCCAATCCCCGTAGCCCTGGATTTCCCACGGCCAATCCCACCCTAACCTGCACATCCCTGGGCACTACGGGACAATTTCCCATGGCCAATCCCACCCTAACCTGCACATCCCTGGGCAC